CAGAAAGAACATTACAGAAACCTCACGCAAATGTGCAGCACTTGTGCATTGACAACTACTGCTGAAGCCTCATTTTTCTTTCATATGTCTAAATTTTATTTTCTCTATTTCCTGTCCATACTAGTGAACTTCCATCTTTAATAAAACAATATATTACAGCCAAGCCCAAATGTGATACACGTCCCAATTATCTTTGCTACAGAAAACTCCAAGTAGTTCCTTGTGTACCACACAACCAATTCCAGAGATACAGATATACTATGTATCACAAATCAGAATTCCACTTCAAAACAGAGAAATATATTAAGACTCTGTAGATTAACTGTAGTAAAAAAACCACTATAAATTACTTTTCCCTGAAAGTAATTACATTGCCAAAAAACATCTTCTACCATAGCAATGATGCAAATGTGTGTTTTGCCAACTCTGTATATACAAGCACAAACAACAAAGCTACGAAAAGCAGTATCTCTTCATAGAAGTTAAAGCACATCTAAAAGGTGAAAGGTTTATAAAAATTTTTTAAAAATTACATTCTGTTATCCTAATGTTCTTTCTATGATCCATATCAATTTGCGTCTTACAGGCTCTCAAGTAACCAATCCTCCAAATCTTCTCTTGAATACCAAAAGGAATTTCCTAGTCTTTCAGAAAAGCTGGGTTTACATAAGAGAAACCAGCCTTTTAACTCTGTGTTAAATCTGCTTTCCCTTATGTTCATCATGTATTCAAACTAATTTCGAGTAACAGATCTTCAAAAAATGTACCAATGTATTTCTGTGAACTTATTATTCAGCCTGAAGATTTAAGGCTTCAGGCTCTACATCTTAAAAAACCCAATAGCGCACACAACACCAGAAAGCAACTCAGTATTTCGCATTTCAGAGCAGAGTATTTTTTAAAATAAATTTCAACAAGCTGAATTAAAAAAAAAAAGCCTTTTCAGACACATACTCCAGTCATTTCCTTTTTGAAGAACCATATTATGCCATCCTTTCATAAACTGAAGTGCCAACATGAAAACAGTTCTTTTAGTCCCTCCCCACTCTACCTCTACCTGCTCCAGAACCATATTCCTCCAGAGGTGATGATCTTTTTTCAAATTTCTGTACTCACTTTACTTACAATCAATGTCTTCACATTTGTTCCTAGAACAACAGTGGCATCTATTTCAAATGATTCTTATTAATTCTTTTGCATTTACTCCACTTTATACAGCAAAATCCAGCAATTGTACCCATCTTAGTCTAGCTAACACTTTGCTAGACCAAAAGAATTGTTATCAATCTGTTCTCGTAAGGTAGATCTCCATTCCCTTTAATAAACTGAATATTCTCTGAGTTACTCTGAGTAAACTCTTTGTACGTTCTCTAGTCTTGTATTCACCCTTCTTAACCAAGAATGGTAACAATTCTAGTGCCAGCATCTCCGAGGAAGTTTCACCAACACTTTCTACCATGGTGATAACACTGCCCTTTTCTACTGACAATACATTTTCCAGGGTACCCAAGGGTCGTATTTGCCTTTTCACAGCCACATGCACAGGTGACATAATCATCTTACACTTCGGTATAGCATCTAAGTTCAAACAAAAAAGCAAGTATCAAACATTAGATTGAACGGATTGCTCTACAGAAGAATAGGAAATTAGTGTAATTAGAGAGGACAAATAAAAGGAAATCCAGCTTCTAAATACACAGAACAGTTCTCCAATTCTAAGAAGCAGCACAGCAAATATATACATCAATAAAGTTATTCAGTATTCAGAATGTCAGCAGTACTATTTATTTTATTTTCAGTGGGGAAGACATGAAATAGGCATTCAAAACAAGAAAAGGAACATTGTACTCAATGGCACTGACGACCCTGCAGATGCAGAAGCAGGTTTTTTTAAAAACCCCACAAAACAAACAAAACCTAGGTACATCCTTAAGAAGCACACCAAAGACGATGTTGATAAACCATGTACATGATTTAACATAACTGGTCACTGAAAATTAAGTGGAAGCTGGATGGACAAATCATACCCCAAGTGTCTGCAGCATTTTTATTAATCAAGCTCATATAGTAAGAATAAATATTAATAATAACAACAGCAACAATAATATTCTCATTTTTCTCTATCATATTTAAATTTTGTCCTTAAATCACACTTACCCAGGTTGGCAAGTGGCAGCTTATATAGAAAATAAAAATATTTAAATATTTTAAATAGATGGATTTAGTATTTTTACTGCCTAATCTGTAATCATTGAAAAGGCAAGGACCAATGCATGCAGGCTCAATCTGACTGTGTCAGAGATTCACTCTGCACTTTATTTAGTCTCATGACATACGCTACTCCAAAGTACCAAAGCTTGTCATATCAAAGGAAAAGCTGAGAATTTCTTTATAAGAAAAGCAACTTTATGTCCTTTCTAAGCAGGTTATTAATGATATTTCACAAGCCCTGTAAAGGTAAGATATTTAAATTCAGAATAATCTTTCAAGCCCAAAATAATTTGTATAAAATCTTCATAATTTCCCAAGTCATCTTTTCCATCTTCCTGAACCGAAACATCTTAAATTTTTATTCTCTGCTTTTTCTATGTCAGTCATGTTCTGAATTCACCCCGTTCTGAATTCTGCTGCTTATGAAATCATAGAAATGGAAAAATAACAATACTTTTAATAATCTTGAAAACTGATAAGGCACAAAAGACCGGAATGCTGCAAAAGGCATGAAAAAGAAGAGAAAGAAAGACTGTGGTTATAGATTCATGCAAAGAAGCAAGATGAAAAGCAAAGTTTGTCAAATTTCCTTACCATATACCCACGCTGTATGGCAATAATTTAGTTGAAGCAGCAACCTTAGACAAACTATTCAAAGATACTAATCTAGATACAGTAATACTTAATGTATCAAGACTGCAGAGTAGGTAAAATACAACCATAAAGAACAACTTCTCAAGGAGAAGCAGACTCTTAGATACCAACCTATTTGCATGGCAGGCAGAGAAAGTCATACTTCAAGCTCTGGACATATTCCTAAAAATTTGCTTATTGATAAGCTGACTTACAGGATCATACTTCAGGAACAGTTTGCCATGGCAAGTAAAAGTGTGGTCTGCTTCGTTACCATTACCAGATTAATTCTGCTCCAGTGTGAGTCTCTTCTGTTCCCAAAACATTTCAAGTTCTAGTTTATCCATCATGACGATATCAGAATGTTTCCCAAGATTTCAGTATGAAATATAATTAACATCTAGCTTGTGTGCATATTCTGAGTCATATATAAAGAACAGGCATTTTCCTTTGCCTAATGTTTCACCAGCTGATTAAATTATACTGCTTCTGAGGCAACCAACGTAAGTGACTTTTTTGAGTGCCATCTCACTTGAGAACTCAAACTGTGAATGTAAAAATGTGAAGTCCTCTGGCTTCAGAAAAAAACCTGAAATCTGTTATCCACCATTTTTTTTCTAGCTGACTTTGTATCATACATTAAATCCATACACCTTATTTCTGAATTTTAATACAGTTACTTGCTTTGGGCTGTAAAACATAACCAGCTTTTCCTCAGTTCTTCTGCATAACTTACAAGAAGTGTATATTGTGCAAATGTGTGTTGCAAAGATAATGTTGTCAGGAAGCTCCTGATACATTTCCAATACACTGGTGTTAGTGCACATAGAAAGGTAGTAAAGTTTAAAACACCTTCACAATGTAAAGTGCCTATCTCTGACAGAGAAATTTCGATAATGCAATAAAGGTCTAAGAAAAAGAAAATAGCTATATATCTAAGCCAATATCCTGTAGGCAAGGTTTTGTTTGCTGTTTAACACTTACTGGTCAGTTATTAGTGCTCTCTCTTATTGGAAGAAAAAAGAAGACCATCAAAAGTTAAATTCTACCTCTGTGTCAAGAAATCCAGTTGTATTCTGTGGTCTTTTTTCTTCCAGCACTACTGTAGCAGAATTTATAGCCCAATCTTTTACTAAATCTTTCTGGTTCTCGTTGATAACAGGCCTATTATAATCCTGGCTGTCATCCACTCCAAATACCTGAAAATGAAACAAACCATTACATACATTAACCCAATACCATCCTGATACAGTGTTCAATGTTAATGGATGGATGGTGGCATGCTGGACAGTGAGCTTAAAAATTTTTGTTTTGTAATTATGTTTTATTTGTCATTTGGTGAAATCTACAAACTAAATAGAAAATTTTCTACAGCAATTTTGAAAAGAACAGAAGTGTATGTCAACACTGAAAATTCAAGGAACTGCTAGTTGGAATGGTCAGATATGAAAAAAATGACACTTTGATGAAAGAAACAAAAGGTAAAGCCAAAATCATTATGAAAACCATTTTACAGTCTACTTCTCAAGGAAAAAAATGGTTACTAGAACCATCAAATTGTCAGATTCTTGCCATTACCTAATGAAAACAAGAAATACAAATGCTTATATCTGCTACTAAGATGCTTATTAAATTATTTCTCTAATACAAACAAAATTTCAGTTTTTCATTCATCAGGGACTCAGCAGATGTTATAAGTCCACCAGGTCTCTCAAACCACGTAGACTCATCTCATTCAAGATGTGACTTGCCATAGTTATTCTACTACACTGTTTCCTACTGATGCTTATATTAATCCCTTCTGTTTGCGACAGAATACTTTTCCCATGACATTTAAAACCATTGCTGATAGAGAAAAATACAAGAAAAATGTTGTTATTGAGGCAATTTAGTAATAAGGACTTAAGCAGGACAACCAATATATTGTCTGTAAAATTAAGGAGTATGAATTGCTTTCAGAATTTATACTTCGAAGGTATTGTAGGGAACATTTTGTAAAAATGTTAAATTATGTAAAAACATAAAATTTATAAAATGTACAAATTTCTGCCTAAGAAATGATAAATTCACTACTACTAAGGATTTGGACATTAAAAAAAATTACAGACTAAAAATGCACTCCTCCTCCCCCCCATTAAAATCAGTTGCTAAAAAGAAAGTGTAACATCAAAAATTTTCTTGTCTTAGAAAAACACAAAGGAAGGAAGGAAATGACCTTCACAGATGTTATAATTCTGTAAAAAAAATTACTAGTGCAACAGAAAAAAATATCTAGAATATTTTTTTTCTCTGAAACTGTTTTGTAATTCAGTTTTGCACAGTAAAGCTAGAGGACTCGTTTAGTAAAATTCTGAACAACGTTAGTGTATTTAAAATGGATTCACCACTAGATGGCCACAAACCATAACGTTTTTTAGTGTCTGAGAAGCAGACAGAAAAAAAATTAAAAAGCACCCTGTCATTCAGCTGCTGCTTATGCTCTTCTAGATGTCCAAAAAGATGCTGCCATACCATTTGTACATTTATATCCGAGGAAACTTTTTCAAATGCGTTGGATTTTTATTTTGCTCTCATGCAAAATGCCTACTTTCTGCAATTCTAAAATTCAGGCAATGCTCCACAATTTTCAATTAATACCTAAATAATGTCTAGATCCACCTATGCACCAGTTGTTAAAGAGTATTTCATTAATATTTATTTTCTTTAAAAAAGTGTGACCTAAGTCCTATTTAAGCAAATTTTGTTATTCTTCTATTACTGAAATTACTGCAAAACCAAATTTGAGTATTGCCTATTCTTCCTGTGAAAGGCAATGTGGGTAACAATAAGATCCAAGTAATAGATTTACCTCCTAATACTACTACTACTGATTCCTCTGTATACATAGTGGGGACATCAGAGGCCAGAAAAGATAAAATATTTGGGACGCTATTATTAGAAAGGGAAAACATCTTCTTCAGTAAATGCATATTTGCACCACACATTCGTCCTACATCTAAGAGCACTGGTATGTGCACACACCTGTCCTGTCAAAGTTCCATTCCTACAAAGCTCCTCTTCTCAGAAAGAAAGAAGAGATTCATATTAGTGCGATCTAGCCTAAAGACTAAATTTCAGAACTGTGATACATAATGGCTTTGTTTCCAAAGGGTTTTTAATACATAATCAATACTAAGTAAATGATAAAACAACTCATGTTTCTATTTGACAAAAATTTAGTAAATCACTTACATACCCGTCACACATCTGCAGAAAATGAATACCATGAGAATTTCAGGATGAACCAATCCACTTACACTGTTTCCCAAATAATGAGAATGTGCCCTCAACAGAAACAGCTATGGAATAACCTGAAAGTTTCTTTTGGAAATTGTCTCTGTACCATTTAGAAAAATGCAATTCGTATTTTATGAGTTGCTATGATAAGCTATGTGTGCAAACAGTGGGCTGTGGTGATTGAAGCCTGAATGGATAGAGACCTGTATCATCCTACAAAGACTGAATGACATTCTTCAAGGCTTCCAGTTCTTCAGACATTTCTGCTCCTTAAATATCTTCATGATTCCAAAGTCATTTAAGGAAAGTCTAGGAGAGAACTTAACCAAACTAAAAAAAAAACCTGAGGAAATGCTGATGAGACCCATTGCTGCATCTCTTACCTACTTACACAAAAGACAGAAGTTTCTTTCTGTAAAGCTTATATTTGTCAGAAGCAGCAATTACAGCCTTAAATAGAAGCAACTACCATCTGTATTTTGATTAACTGTGTTTTAAGGAAGAAAAAGATGAAGCCAGATGCTGAGATACAGGTTTGGATACAGCGAGCTCTTTGAAAAATTAGAAGAATGCCTTTTTTTGTTTGTTTTATTTTTTTATAATGGAGGTAAAGGGAGTCTATGCATTCATTTATGACCTAAAGAACCTTTCTAACCATCCCAAATCACATGTATCAAGCACACAGCTGTCAATAAAAAATTAGTTTCCTAAATATTTTGCATTTTTTTATGTCACTGTAAACAATAAAATTTTGCCAAGAAGGTTGGATCAGATGATCCTTGTGGTCCTTGACAAACTGGTATTCAATGATTCTATAAAAATCATGATCTTGCATTTTTGGAGAGAGTCTGAGTGATGGGGAGTAGTATGTTTATTTTTTAACTTAGGTAGCTGCATGTACCACGAAGAAAACAATTCCTAGAATTTTTTTTTTTTTAAAAAACCAAATGCAAAGATATTAATGCTGTTTTTTAAACAGACATAATTTAAAACCAAAACTACTAGAGAAAGATTTTTCCAAGCTAATAGCTTCCTACAAGCAATCATTCCTGAAAGTTAAGTTTTCTGCCCTCCTCTGTACTATTATTGTTTATTTTTATGAGATCATATTTTAGCAGAAAGACTAGATTACTCCATCCTGAATGCTTCAAGTTTCATAAAGTTACAAAACAAAAAACAGGATAATAATTTTCACAGAATCCCTGAAATCTGACTGATGGGGCAAAATCTAGGCACTGCACCAAACTGCACCATTACATGGGCTTGCTGCAGGGTCTCTGACACATAGCTGTAGTGGTGGAACTGTCAGAAACATTGTATAAGCTGTGGTGATGGTGTTTAAAAACAACCGCTTTATTGTTATGAAGCATGAAACATTTTCCATTGCAAATTAGGACACTTTGTACAGCAAGGGAATGACAACAACAACATTGCTGTAGAAAGTCAAGCCCCATTTATGAAATGCAGTCAACATAATTTTGTTTAATCTGCAATCCAGTCGACCTCTTAAGCAAACATTAGCTAACAAGTGATAGACAGACTGCATCCAGTTTTGGTCCCCCCAGTACATGAGAGACATTGTTTAACTGGTGGGCGTT